ACGAATTCGCCCCTTGATATGGTGGTTGCTTTGTATGAAAATTGGAAAACAGGCTTATAGGATGCCTATCCAGGCAAAAAGCTACCTAAGTACAAAATTTGAATCAAATCGTAACATAGATATGATTTTTCCCTGGTCCACTTCGCGGAAAAAAGGAACATATATGCTAATCCAGGCAAAAATCTACCTGCGTACCAAATTTTAAGCAAATCGGACCATAATAAGATTTTTTCGAATAGATCTGTCCTTGTTCCACCTATCGGAAAAGCCGTTCCTGAGATTACCTGTTACAAAAAAAGGGACTTCTCTTTATATAATTAGTATAGATATAGATAAGTTTATCTCATTATGTCTAACTGAACGTTCTATCGAAGATGTTTAAAATAATGGTAAAACCTCCCCTGCTTACCATGTAGTGGTAGTTTTCGGAAAGGTGAAAAAACTATATTTAATATTTGCGCCGGGTATTTAATGCTCGGCTCCGGCCGAACTTAGACTTTCTTACTTGTTTACTCTTTGTTTTATTTTAAATAACGCTGTAATAAAAAATTTTGTTTTTTTATTCTAAAAATAAAATTGTATCCTCGGCTTCGATGCTTCAGAAATGTCGTGTAAATATGTATATGTACATATATCTCGGTAACCAATTTAACAATTTTTACCCAACTCGGTACGATTATTGTACTTGATGCAGAAACCTAAGATTTTAAAAATGTTTGAAGTCGGACTAAAATTACGCCCGTTTTCACATAACGGTAAATTTCAGTTAAATGAAATTTCGATATTTCGTAATTAAAGGACGCTAATTTATTCGGATGATACACATAACACATAAAAAGGACATGATTATTATGAAATTTTGGGAAATGAGCGTGGCACCACCCACTTATGACTATATACATAAGTGTATCTCGGTAACCGCTTCATTGATTTTTGTTTCATTCACTCAAACTGAGCATATCATCGAAAATATTTGAAATAGGGGTGGAAGAACTATATTTAATACGTGCGCCTGGTATTTAACGTTCGGCTTCGTCTGAACTTGGACTTATTTACTTGTTTTTCTTTGACTTTAGCAGAAGTTAACCACCCGAAGTGTAAAAGTCACTTGCACCAAGGAATTTATACGACATTTGGATTGTTGTTAGTATCAATTTTGGGTAAAATTAGCGTCCTTAAATTTCGAAATATCGAAGCTTCAAGCATTTCTGAAATTTACCGTTATAGAAAAGTGCAGACCATGATCAACAGATTGTTCATAGCGCGGAGCGGAAACTAGAGATTTCCGCCTGCCACACACAAAAGTAGACTGAAGACAAAGTAATGTCTTCGGGAACATGGACCGGAAACCCCGACCTTTCCGACCATGATCAACAGCCTGTCCGCAGCGCGGAGCCGAAACTAGTCTTTCCGCCCGCCGCACACAAAAGTAGACTGAAGACTAGGCCTCGCCAGCTACCAAACCTGCTATTTTATATTATTATTATTATTATTATTTTTACAAATTAATATGTATAATTAGTCTACTCTGTAATATATCACACATACTTAAATATCTAAATGTTCTATTCTCATTCGTCTGTAAGAAAACATTTTTCTGTAGACCAAATAAATAAATAAATAAAATAGATTTTGGGGATAATGTATTTGGGGATTTTTTTGAAACTGGGGATTTTGTATTTGGGGATTCTGTTTTCGGGGATTTCGTGGCTCTCCCCAGTTGTACACATTTTTAAACTACTAAGGGCTATATTACAGCGGCTCCGCTGGCTTGGTCATGTCGTTCGAATGGACACCGACGCTCCAGCTCTGAAAGTATTCAACTCGGAACCCGCTGGTGGTAGCAGAGGAAGAGGGAGGCCCCCACTGCGATGGAAAGATCAGGTGGAGAAGGACTTGGCTTCACTTGGCGTTTCCAATTGGCGTCAGTTGGCACAGAGGAGAAACGACTGGCGTGCTTTGCTAAACTCGGCCAAAATCGCTTAGGCGGTTACAGCGCCAAAAAAGAAGAAGAAGAGAAGGGCTATATTAGTAATGCAGATATAATTTTTTTAATTTGGAAACTTATATGAACCTAAAGAATCTTTTAATTCAAAAACGTTTTTCCTACAATTTTCTGGATCTAATGAAGAATCAATATGAATATTCTTATGACCGAACAATGCGTGTTCTCTCCATTCGTTATCAAGATTTTGCAAGTTCAAAGTATGTTGAAAATATAACGATGGAATTAAAAAAATTATTGATAACATTTTGAATATTTAGCATCAAATGCAGATGTGCTTAAGAGTGAAAAATACCACAGAAGCAGCTTAACAAACCAAGCGAAATATCCCTTTGCTTGAAGCTATTTATGTTGTGTATAGAAGTGCTTGAAGGTGTGCCAAGCCATTTGAGGGAAATGTGAACAAAAATTAAAATTTTTTGATTTTATGGCCGCCATGTTGACGTTTGATCAAACCGCTTACGTTGTGTATGGTGAAATCGCCTCATTCGCAACGGAATTTTCACCGAATGAGGACGCAAGAAAAAAAATCTAAACCAAACTTTTTTATTATTACCTTCCTTTTGTTAGCTCGGGATGTAACTATGTAATATTGATGCGCCTAAAAGATGCAGCGATTTCTATTCTCAAGTTACATACCTGATGACAGTACGAATGGCAATTATAATAGGGAGGTTTTAGTTTTTTAAACTATAATTTTATTGCATTGTGAACCGAAAGAAAATCAAAATTCTTTGCTTGAACGAGTCATGTTTGCATGGTGTATGGCGAAATCGGAAAATTAGGTTCGAATAGTGTTTGACAAGCCGATCGTGAGGTGTATTTCCCCTTTTTATAAAACTTCGGAAAGCTTTTTGTTAAAAAATTTGCAGGGCGATTTTACAACTCTGTTGTGTAAAACATGGATGCATTTGTTATCTGCAATATATCGAGAGAAAATTTCTCAAAAATTCCTCAAAATAAAAATCCTCAGAAAACACTGCACTGGTAGTGCACATGGTAGTGCAGAGTCGAACCAGTCGGAAGCATAATAGCGAGAAACTACGAAAGAGGGTGCCCATAATTCACGCAAGTGACTACTTTAGTAACTCCCGGTAGTTCAGAGAGAGCCGGTGGTGACTATCGCCTAGGATAGGGATGCCCAAATCTACACATATGTGTCGCGGGCGACTGCGCGTGCAAAGCTTTGCACAGCGGTGCTGGGCAAGCGAGGAGCAAAAAGTTATCGGAAGGGGAAAACGAAGTCAACAGAATAGTGAGATTGTATGTGTGACAGTGATGTAAAATGAGTGTTTTTGAGTATTAAGTAATGAGTATTTTTTTTACATTTAATCGTATGTGCTTAAACTGATAAATGATATAAACATAGAAACGCAAGCAGAAGAATCTCGCTTCCACATTCTGCATATGCGCTTAACATTTTTGCTTAAACAAATTTGTCAAAATTTCATCTCTAAAGCAAATATTAAATATCATTTAATATATACTTTAGATTTAAATAACCATTTTTAGTGGTGGGCGAGTCCGAGTTGTTTAAATGATCGAGATAGTACATTCAATTCGTGTTGATTTTTGAGAACTTTTTTCGTTGAAGGTGTTGCACTTTTTTTCCGTACTGAAATTTGTGTACATCATTTATCATTGTCTAAGAAAAACTATAAAATAAAGTTTAATTTAAAATATTGGAATAAAAAACAGCAACGCTACACGCGCATTCATCCATATAACATAAAATGCGAACGTTCGTTATATGAAAGAAAGTGCGCAACACCGCAAACAGAAAAATTCAAAAAATCAATGGTATTTTCTAGACACTTCAAACTTGCACCTTATTATACTAGAATGAATGGACTACAAAATTGTTAAACCAAAACATGTCTACAAATTCTGAACAAAAACTGAAAATTTGATGAAACTTTGTTGATTTTTTCATTCTTTCACGTTTCGACTTATTTGCAAGGGTTTTGTTTGATAATGAGCTACAATTTTATAAAAAAAATAATTAAAATTATTTGAAAAAATAAAATAAATACCGGGTGACCGTGTAATTTTGTCAAAGATTGATGATAAAACATTAATACACTATATAGGTCAGTTCATATTAATGAACACAAAATGAGATCACTATAGATAAAATGGAAATCCTCAAGGGAAATTTATAATTTCAACGCATGGAATTTACATATATTTTCTTACTTTCAACCCCCGAATTGCTCAATTACTTCTATTTCGGCAGGATCGCCATGCATTTCCAAAGATTTTTTCAAAATAAATAGCGATGAGGGATACTTCACCCGCCGGTGATAAGAAATCGCAATCACCATAACGCACATCACTAATATTACTGTTCACAATCACGTTTACATTCAAAATTACAATTCATATTTTCGTTTGTACTTAAAATCGGCAAATTGTACTTTTGTACATTTTAAAATTAATTGTACTGAAAAAAGTACAATTGTACTTAAAATATCAACACTGTTTCACTGGCGCTGTACTTGCTGCAGCGATGCCAGATTTGAGCGTACCCAATTTTTTACCGATAATAACTCATGCGAGGGATTAGGAAGTATACATATCTGTATTCGTATAGAATAGTAGCTTATGGCGGAAGACTGGCTTTAGTATAATGAACCATTCGCAGCATACGATGGCGAAAGACTCACTGGCGCCGAGTCGTTGAAGAACTCTTGGAAAATAAACGTAAAAGACGGTAATGTAAATGCTAGCAAGTCAATATTCGTATAAAGGTTCATAAAAAAATTCCTTGTGGTTTAAAGAATTAGGAAATGGTACATTTTACTAAAGCCAGCCTCCCGACATAAGCTACTATTTCATACGAACACAAATATATTCGTCCACAAATAATCGGCCCTATTCCCGTTGGCGTTGTCGTTTTAAAACGAAATAAAAACGACAAGTTGGCATCACCGTTGGCGTTATCGAAGTTTATCGGAAATATATCGGTATTCTCCATTTTGAAACAAGATAGGAACGCCATAGAAACATTCGTCTACTGTCGTCCGCATTTTTTAGAACGAAAGCGAAAGGATTGCGATTTTAATAAAGTTAAAATGAAAATTACTACCGTGCAGCAATTTGAGGTTTTAGTTTCCGAAATGGAAAAGAATCCCGCGTACGCCAAAGGTTTTAGGAAGGGCACAAAACCTCTTAACTTCAACAGTTTTTGGAACGTGGTTGCGGAAAAAGTAAATCCTTTTGGACCTCCAGTTCGTGATGGAGAAGGTTGGCATAAAGTAAGTAAAATTATGTTAACAGTAAATATTACTTAAAACTAACGATTCTACAATTCTACTAAAGGTATGGAAGGACTTGAAATTCAAGGTAAAGAAAAAACTGGTCAACAACAAAACCGAAGCGAGAGCAACAGGAGGAGGAGCCAATAGACAAATGCAACTGTCTCCACTGGAAGAAGCGGTGGCAAATTTGTTGCAGTTTGAGCAGCTAATAAACCCCAAAGGGAGTGAGTTGGGTTTGGTTGAAGAAACCGAAATTGATGAGTTGCTTAACCTTGATGAAACGACTGCGAGTTCTCAAGTACAGGCAAATGCAGAAAACGCCGAAGAATACGTCATCGAAGAATATGTGGAAGATGAAACACCCACAGTTTCAACAAGAGTGCGGTCCTCAAGAAGCACAAAACCTGCAGAAAAAGAAAGAATTGAGCTGTTGAGGAAGCAGACCGAAATACGGGAAGTGCAGTGCGACCATTTACAGTCCATTAAGGGATACATGAAAGATGTTTCCAGATACCAAAGAAAAAGGCATGAGATAGAAGAAGAACGCCTAAAAATTTACAAAAGGAAAGTGCGTAAAGAAGAAGAGCTTTTGGAGCTGGATGCTGCAATAAAAAGAAAGAAGCTTGAGTTATTGGAGAAACAATTAAGTTCCAATATCTAATTTATTTCATTTGAATTTTTATTTATTTTTTATGAAGTGTTTTTTCTTTTTTTACTTTAAGTATGTATTAAAAAATATAACTTAAAAAAAAAATTAAAAAATATAACTTATAAAGACAAATTGCTTTTAATCACATCTCTTATTCTGGAAGCCTCTGAGCTACTGCCTGCCTCATTTTCATTAATAATGGCAGAATTTTCTGCTTCTTCGAAAGGCGTTTGTAGATCATCTTCAGGAAAGTAAGTATTGTAGTGAAGACAAATATTGTGGAGAGCAGCACAAGCGTTTACGATTTTAGTAATTTTTTGGGGATCATAGTGTAACTCGCGCGCTCCAAGAAAGCAGCGAAATCGCGATTTCAGTACTCCAATCACTCGCTCAACAATATTTCTGGCTTTGGAATGAACGGAATTGTAGCGGCTTTCCGCACTGTGTTCAGTCGCTGATCTATAAGGTGTCATTAGAAATGGTTCTAATGGGTAACCCGCATCGCCTAAAAACTTGTATGTAAAACTCATTTCAATATTAATTGTAATTTCATACCAAGAATCCACGAATTACGTTCACCAGCTTCATATTTTTCCTCTAAAAACCTTCTTACTCGGCTGGTATTCCAAATTAAGGAATCGTGTCCAGAGCCTGGATGTCTGGCGTCTACGTATCTTATACGCATTTTATGATCGCAGATCTAATACAAAAAAGAATAAATAGTTAGTAATCACTTCCATAAATTACATTCATTCAAGTATTTACAATCATTGCATTTACGCTAAAGAAACCTTTTCTGTTGTAGTACAAATGTTGAGAGCTTTTGCAGGGACCAATTATTTTAATATGCGTTCCGTCTACACAGCCAATGATTCCAGGAAAACCAGTTCGTTCAAAAAAACTTCGCTTGCACTCCATCTCCTCATCTTCCGACATTTGGAACGTAACCCAGTTTTTGCAAATTGTAGTTTCCATCGCGTCTAACACCTCGGATAAAATTTTGCTTACCGTGGGTTGGGCCAACGACAAATTAAAGTCATTTCCAACGCTAAGCTGATATGACCCTTGCGCAAAAAAACGCAAAGCAGTTGCCAGTTTTATTGTTGGCGTAATAGCAGACTTTCGCGTGTTGCGTTTTAGTTTCGGGCGGATTTGCTCTAGGACGTATTGAAACGCAGCTTTGTTCAGTCTAAAGGTGTTCACAAATCTAAAAAATATGCACATATGTACATGTACGTATATATATAAATAATTTACTCAAATACATTTTCTTACATTGTATCTGGAAGTGTTAGTACATTTATGCTATGCCGTAATCTCCTGCGATGTTTATTTATGTTGTTCATTTCATTGTCCTCACTTGAACTTGAAAAATAAAATTCCGTACTCGCCATTCTTTTGTTTTTCGTTAGTATAACAAAATTCAAAATTCAGTGACAAAAGTAACAACGCAAAACATTGCAGCGCTACCATACTTTATTAATTTTAATTTTTTGTTTTCGATAACTTTTCTCCGTCGTTTCAATATACTTCAAGAATGCGAATTTAGGAACGAAGCGACGATAAAAACGACAACGACATAGAAACGATTATTATAACGACAACGCCAACGGGAATAGGGCCGAATGTTGATTATTTTAATTAAGTCCTAAGATAAGTTTGTAAATCTTATCAGTATTCTATGTAAGAACCAAAAATCAATACCCTCGCCAATTTGAACTTTTGCTTTAAAAGAAAAATAGATATACATAGCGCATTTACTCAATACTTGGTCTGGCATCACTGTTTGAGCATTGATGTGATCAGCTCACTGTTGCCAAGGTCGTGCATTTTGCACTAAATTTAGTGCTTTTGGGAAACCAAAAAGCCAAAATAATTGGAATTCAATGCTTGGTGCGGTATTTAGTGATGCTTTTTTAATTTAAGCACACCGAATGCATAGGTACATATGTATGTATGTATCACAGCGCACGGCAGTGCGCGCGAGTGACGAAAGCGGCAACAGTAGCATGCTGAAATGACTCGCTTATATATACAAGAGACTTGGGAGTTTTTATCCAGACGTCCAATCGACATGTGTTATACCGTTGGAAAGGTCTTGCAGAGTGTGTCCAGAAAATATATTCAAGCTTCGTAAACGATTAACCGGATTCTCAAAAATTAGGCTAAAGTGTTGCGAAACAAAAAACGTGTTTTTGCTTTTGCTGGTTTAAGGGGGCATGTGGGCACACCCAACATATCTAGTGTTATTCTATAGGCCAATGTACTGTCAAAAAGGAGGGTAAATATATATACTGATAGCCAGGCGGCAATCAGGGCGCTGGGATCGCTAATGGTGTGCTCAAAACTGGTTGGGGAATGCCTGACCTCTCTCTCAACTGCCTCGGAGTACTTCCAGATCAAGCTAATTTGGGTCCCGGGGCACAGTGATATCGCGGGAAATTGCAGGGCTGATGAACTGGCCAGGCAAGGCACCCTTGAGGCCATCACCTCGGACAGGGAGGGCATTGGAGTTCCGTTGGCAACCTGCGGCCTGCTTTTGGACAGATGGGCTCATGGTCGGCTCAGCGAGCGCTGGGAAAAAACCCCGACTTGCAGAGTTGCAAGGTCCTTCTGGCCGGTTGTGGACCGCGGGCGGTCAAGGGAACTGCTGCAGCTGGCTAAGCGTCAGCTCTCGATTTTCACAGGGGTACTGACCGGACACTGTCCAATGGGAACCCACGCGGTGCGACTCAATATCGTCACGGATCCCTACTGCGCCAGTTGCCTGGAAGACGAGGTGGAATCATCTCAGCACTTCCTACTCAACTGCCCGGCATTCGCTAGATTACGGTTTAAGCATCTCGGTGCGCATTTCATCGACACTCCCGAGGGACTCTCCGGAGTGGACATCAGCTGTTTGAAGAACTTCATTATGAGCACCCAGCGCTTCTCGTAATTTTTACGCAGTTACCGTTCCTATGTAATGTGGTATCACAATGGACAATCAAATGTCTAAGTGAGTCCCCTTTGCGGGTCTGCCACCTTAACCTAACCTAACCTATAGGCCAATACCTTTCAAACGATAGCTTATATATTAAGTTCCGGCCACTACTTCGAAGATATAGAGGTAAATGTGTTTTTGTTCGTGTCTCCACTACGAGATGCTTTGATATGTATGTGGCGTCTGTACGTACCATCAAATAATTTTTTTCAAACTTTCAGGAATTAAAGTACATAAAAAACTACGAAGGTTTTGTTCCAGGATGTTTTGATTCGTATGCCTGTGTGGTCGTGGCTGCTGCCTGTAATTCGAAAAAAGGCAATTTTTTAAACTACCACTGAGGCCGCACTACTCAGTCCATGCCATTGATCTGGATATCAGTAGAAGGGTCTTCAAACAAGCTATCTAACGCTATCTTTTGTGATTATAAAATATAAATATGCCTTAACGTTATCGCCTCAAAACTAAAAGTCGGGCTACTGAAAATAGAGATTTCGGGCATTTTCTCAAAACCTGGTCAGTCGATTTTATTCTAAGTTTCCACAAGTCTAGCCCAAAATCTTAGCTTTCATCTGGTGTATAGCTTATATCTGGGAAAACTCTTGTTGTGGAGATATTGCTATTCAAATTGAAAAAATGTCGCTCCAAAAAGGGTCAAATGGTTAAAAATTAACCTATCCGTCTAACTTGGTTACTTTAAGATATAAAAATAACATACCCAGTTCCCCGAAAAAAATCGCCCATTCCCCGATTGCCACTTAAACCGAAATTCCCTGCAAATCGGGGAATTTCCCGCGAGTTGACAAGTTGAAGGATGCAGCTGTGCTAATCACTTCGTACATGTCTTGGAATCCACAATTTGTGTGTATTTTAGAGTTTTTTTCAGTCACATGCCGAAATTGTAACATTCTTCCCTATTTTAATTGCAGGTATGTACACAGTATTTAACTATGCTACATGGGTTTATCACCCGCACTTAACCTACCTGATATTTACCTATAGTTGTACATAAATATGTATGTATGAATGCATTTAGTTCACCCAATGTGCCGCTAATACTTACATACATATGTATAAATTGCCACTGAGCAAAACTACTTGAGAAAAAATCATTGGTTTAATAGCACGAGTGCAACACCGTACACGTGATAGAAGTAAAACTTCTAAAAAAAAAAAGCACATGTGTGTGCCCCACACCCAGTAGAAATCTTAACAACAATTAGACTACGAGGCAATCAGACGAATACAGTTGTTTATTGTATACAAAGTTGGTACCAAGTTGATAAGTTTTTATCATTTCCCTTTTTTTTAATATTGTCGAATACATATCATCCTTGATATCATCATATCCTTGATCATCCTTTTTCGCTTTATTCGGTATTCGAAAAACTATGTGTTTCAATGGACACATCGATTTGAATACATAATTTAGATTTAGAGAATATTTTTAGCAATTTATTTGAGAAAAATAAAACATTTAGTTTATTGTTTGTATTTTCGTCGATTTTTGATTTGCTACCTCAAAATAATTGATATCAAATAAAACACCTCTTTGAGATAAAATTTTCGAGTGACGAAAGCTGAACTAGAAACACAAAATTTATGAAATCAATTTCGGGACGAAAATTATACGCATTTTTTAACTGCCTTTCAAACGTACGGAAAATCTTTTTTTATTTATTCGGAACGTTGCGAATTTCCGTTTACTGCTAGAAAACAGAACTTTTGCAACGATTCGTATGAATAAAAAAAGATTTTCCGTACGTTTGAAAGGCAGTTAAAAAATGCGTATAATTTTCGTCCCGAAATTGATATCATAAATTTTGTGTTTCTAGTTCAGCTTTCGTCACTTGAAAATTTTACCTCAAAGAGGTGTTTTATTTGATACACTATACACTAATATTCCACATTTAGTTGGAATTCATTTACTGAATAAATCGTGAGGAATAGGTAAATTAAATATGTTTTGCGTTGTTATAAATGTATTGAAATTAATTTATTAATAAAAACGTGAGCAAATGGATATGTA